GTGGAGAACAGACCCGCCCTCGGTGATCGGAATATTTGCACGCCATGGTGGATGCGGCTGTTCTCTCTGCTAGTTGGGGAGCCTTGCGGCCTTGGGGAGTAGAGCATTTGCCAGTCCAGGGTCCCCTGCGCCCACCGCTCTGGCCCTCTGTAGCTGTGCCCGCTGCTTCTATTGCCAGGCAAGCACCTGAGGCCAGGGAGCGGCTTCCTAGACAGCAGCGTGTGCTGCTGCCCAAGTGGCAGTGTTTATCTCCTGCACATGTGGTGACAGGCGCCGCGCCTCCTCCCCCTCGGAGCTGGTATTTCCCTTGTGGCTACTGAGGCAGGAAGCAGGTGGCAGGAGCTGCTCTCCCTGTGTCTCCCCAGAGCTGCCTGGGTTTGCCACCAACCGTGGCGGCTGCTGATTTGGCTGATCGCTCCGCCTTTCGCTGGCAGATCTGATACTGTGGCATGGGTTGGCACCTCCGCCCTGGGTATCAACAGCCCCGGGGGACCTGTGCAGCTGCTCTCTGAGCAGAGGGATGATGAGCTGACTGGGGGAGGAGACCATTTCTGTCCCCCTGAGTGCCATAGACAGGCCACTTAGGGTTTTGTTTGTCTATTTGTTTTGTTTTTTGAGGCAAAGCCTCACTCCACAGTTTGGGCTGCCTTTGAACTCATTTTGTAGCCCAGACTGATCTCAAAATTACAGCGATCCTCCTGCCTCAGCCTCTCGAATGCTGGGATTACAGGCATGCACGTCCACGCCCAGCTCTTTTTGTTTGTTTTTTGACATAGGGTCTCATGATGTGGTCCAGGCTGGCCTCAAACTCAGGACCTTCCAGCCTCAGCCTCTGGCCTGCTGCGGTGACGCATGTGGCCACCCCACCCAGTGAGCTGTGCCCCTTCTAAGCTCTGCCAGAAGGCAAGGCAGGGGGCCCAAGGCGCCCATGAGCTGTGACTGCTGTGGACGGAAGTGTGACTCAGAACAGCGCTGGGCGCCTGCCCGGAGACCACGAGCACGGCCTTACTGGATCCGGGCCCTGCGACAACCTGCCTGTGTTGAGCCGTCACCCAGGGGTGTCCCGGTCATCGTCAGAGAATGTGCTGTGAGCTCCGTCCTCTGCCAGGCCGGGAACAGCGGTGACAGAGACCAGGAGTTTCCTCCCACCCACCACGCACTGCCACAGCAGGTGCAGTGGTTTCTGCTGAGACAAAAGAGGGGACCCGTGAGGGCTTCTGTCCCTCGTCAGCCCTGCTCACCACACGCTGCATCTGGCCTCTGCCTGTGTCCCAGCCAGTCCCGTGGCGTCCTGGCTGCTCCCTCTGGCTGACTCCTCATTATGCCAAGTCCAGAGGACTCGTCCCAGGGTGGGTCTCACCCCCCCCTCGGCCTCCACCCTCCTCTTCCTCTTTCCCCTCCACTTCCTCCTCTTGCTTATACTGGAGATTGAACCCAGGGCTTTGCACCTCTCCAGGGCTTTTCCTACCTTCCATTTTGACCCAGGGTCTCACTAAGTCACTGAATTCCCCAAGCTGGGCTCACACTCGCCGTCCTCCTGCCTCAGCCTCCTGCGGGTGGAGGACAGGCCTGTGTCCCGCCGTCCTCAGCAGCCCTTGGTGAGGCTGGCCCTTTGCTCCCTGCCAGCTGAGCTCTGCACACACCCTGGCTTTCTGTGGCCGCTGTCTGCGCCCTCTGGATCTCTTCCTAGCTTCTTTCCACCCACACTGGTGACAGAGGACATCACCGCCTGTCCTTGGCGCTCTGCTCGCTGCTGCCGCCTGCCACCATGTTGCCCGTAGGTGTGTCCCCTGCGCAGACCCCGAGGGAGGCTGGGGGTGTCTGTCTGGCCAGGAGCAGCCCGGCTTCCAGACTGACGTCCCCTCAGCTCCTTCCTGTGCTTACGGCGCCCAGCTCAGCCACAGCTGCTCCCCAGAGGACTTGGCCCTTTTGGTTCTCCGGGGCCTGTACCTCACAGAAACATTCTCATCCCCTTCATCACAGTCACCAGCCTGAGCCACCACACCACCTGGTGTCCTATTTACAAGACTCCTCTCCACTCTCCCTGCCCTGTCCCCAGGACCTCCCTCCCTGCCTCTTGCTCCTCTCTGCAGTCTCCAGAGAGAAGCTGGTTGCCATTAGTCAGTCCGTGTCACCTCCCTGCCACTCCACTAGCCACGCTCATCTCAGGCTCTGAAGCCCTGCACAGCCTGTCCTTCCATTTGCCAACTTTCTCTTACTTGGTATGACCTCAGGGCCTTTGCACTTCCTGTTTCTTCTGCTCTGGACGCCTTCCCCCAAGCCTTCTTGTTTAAAACTGCAATGCTTTTTACCCACATTTCCCATCCTCATCCTTGGCTCTTCTTGGTCTGTGTATATTCCTTTCATCTAATCGCATGCCCATTCTGTGATTGGTTGGGAACCAGTCTTTGGTTTGGATAATCAGGAGATAGATTTTTCTAGAGAACTTAACCATGGCAGATGTTGAAAGCTTACCGCTTGCAGCTCTCTGTACCCTCTGCACTGTGCTGGGGCACCTCCCGTCCCTGCCGCTTCTTCCGCTGATGGTCCCTGTCCCTGCATGGGGTGGAAGCTCCTAGGGCAGGTTGCTCTACCTGCTTCACTCTGACCTGTGACCCTGTCTACCCCACACAGCAGGCGCTCAGTGGCTCTGCGGATGACTGGGCGAACGCAGGAGGAGGTAGAGGGCGTCCAAGGCTGGAGGGTTTCCTGGAGGACCAGGCGTGTCCCTGACAAGGTAGAAGGGGCACTGGGCAGAGGGCAGAGCAGGCACCAAGCCTGGCCCGTGTCCCTCTCACGGTCACTGTCAAGGGCAGAGTCAGGGTCCTCCTGCAGCACTGCCATTCAGCGGTGACAGGACTCTTAGCTGCTGGAGGGTCCTGTTGACAGTGTGCAGGAGATCACTGTCACTGTGCCCCTCGCCTGCTGAAGTGCTTCAGACCTGGCCACCGACACTGCGGGTGCCACCTCGGGAGGGATGATGACAGCCAGAGGCCATGCCCAGTGCCACCTCCTCCAGGAAGTCCTCTGCACTCTCTCCTCCCTGCCTGGGAAATTTATTATTTTCTTCCTTTTGGCTGCTGGCTCCTTTCTGTAGCACACGGCACCCATTGCCACCTCCACCTGCTCTGTTTGTGTCTTACTGAAGACAACTCCAGGAACAGAGACCAAGCTGATACACGTCAATTCCAGCTCCTTTTCAATGCCAAATCTGAGCTGGGAAGACCAGTGTACGCCAGGCGCTGATTCAGCCGCCACTGGTAAGCAGGCCCTGCCCCGCTGGGCAGAAATCTTCCAGGCTCCAGAAACAAGTCTCCTGAAATTAGATTTCTCACTAATTATGCAGCAGAGTTCAAAAGCAGTTCAGTTAATATTTAACTGCCGAGTTAGGGCAGGCATTGGACAAAATTGATCTTGAAACCTTCAGAGTTTCAGAAGAGCAGAAATGTGGACTTAAATCCACTGTCTCATTCTAGGCACTGCGTGTGAGAAGTGAATCGATGAGAAAGTTTTCATTTAGTGGATTCCTCTACAGATTTTTAAAGCCACCACCAACAGATACGCAAATGGTCTCCCTGCCCCTGGTGCCCACACACGCTCCAAGTGGAGACCCCTGGCTCCAGACTGAACAGGCTCCCAGTCCAGGAGCAGCTTGGACTGTCCTGCTCTAGCCAGAGTTGGGTGGCCTGTAGATGTCATCCTGTGACAGAGTGGGCTGGGGATGTCATTCTGGGCACTCTAGGGGCTTGGAATGGAAGCATCTCCTTCCCTCTGAGGGAGGCCAGGGTGGTGTCACCTGCCCTGGACCTCCACCTGACACCATTCACCTAAAGTGTGCTCAGAGCTTCCAACAGCCGACCTGTCACCCACACTACCATGCAGTGGGTGGCTGTGACAGCATCCCTTCATGTGGTTCAGGCTGGGTGTCGGCCACCCAAAGAGAGGCCTTGGAGAAGGGAGGTTCAGCCTCAGGAAGGAAGTCCTCTTACTTTCAAGGTGAGAAGTGATACCTGGGGTCCCCATCAGCACCCCACATGCACTTGCCGGCCCACCCCAGCGTCTCCCCGCAGTGAAGTCTATGTCAGTGCTTCCTTCTCTGGACTGTCTGTTCCCAGTCTGTGCAAGGAGGAGGCTTGTTTACTTTTCAGTAACTAAGAACAGTCACATTTCATTCATGATCCCTAGAGGAACGGTAAGGGGGACATACAAATAAAGGATACAATCCATACCTATCAACGGAAGTGGCACATCTGGGCCAGCCGGGCAGGTTTGCCAGAAATAGGTCAGGCCAGGGAGAAAAGAGACACAGAGCTGGCTCTTGGTCCCTGTGGCCCTCCCTTGGAAGGCGATGCTCTCGCCGTCCTGGTGAACCTCTCTCTCTTCCCTGTGCTGTGGGCATGGTTGGGGTCCTTCTGCGGGAGCAGAGCTGCTGTAGCTCCACCTGGAGCTCCCCTCCCAGCCTCCCTGGTCCGTGTGTCTGTCCCAAGGTCCCTGGCTTCATGTGATGTGGGCTGTTTAGTTTGTCACTGAGGCTCAGGCACAGAGATTTGCCACTGGGAGCCCCCGCCCAGGGTGCTGCAGGCTCTGAAGAGGAGCACAGTGCAGGGCGGTGGGGCTTGGCAGGCAGGGCTCCCGCTCAGGGAACAGCGTCCGTGATGCCCCCTGTCTGCCCACTGCTGACCTCACGGCTCCCTCACTGACCTCATGTTCCCAGCTGCTGCATGCTGTAGGGCCACTGAGGTAGGAGTTAAGTGACTCCTACGTGGCTGCTCACCCTTGAGCAGGTGGCTCCTCCACCTGCCCAGCAAGTGGCCTGGAGTATGTCCAAGGTCACATGAGTGTGCCTAATATCAGTCCTGACCTAGGATGACCACTCCTGGCTATGACGGTCACACAGCTGGCAAGCAGGAGGCATTGTGTGCTCAGCTGGCTGGTCCATGAGGTGAGACCACAAAATACAGTGATGTTTAAAGTAAAAAAAAAAAAAAAAAAAAAATCATTACGGGAAAAGATGCATTGCCTCAAATACCCTCAAAGTCCTCCCGCTCGCTGTGAGCACACGGTCCCACCGTCCTGGCCACTTTCTGAAGCAGGCCTGCGAGTCCTCTTTTGTGAGTGGCTTAAGTTGCACCGACATAGCTGCCTCCACTCCCTGAATTGATTCAAAATGTTTTCCTTTTTAGGGCGTTTTGATTCTGGGGAAGGAGAGCCAGAAGTTGCGTGGAGCAGGTCCGGTGTGGGCAGTGATGTTTCACCGCCCTGCCCTGCCCTTTTCATGAGCCAGGTGGATGGCGCCTGGCGGCAGCACTGGCTATATTTTGATCCCACCTTGTGAAGACCGTCAGGAAATAGCCCTTCTGGAACTGCTGCAGAAAGTGGCAGGGACGATGGCATAGGCGTGTTCCAAGCGAGGGAGAGGATTTCGAGGGGGATTCGTGGCAGTGCGTTTTTTAGTGTAATAATTAAAAAAAAATAGATAGGCACCGGTGTTGTGATTAGTTCTTGTAAACAGAGATGCTTGGCAGGGAGGCTTGGTGGCAATCTTGCCCTTGAGGCCCTTTCCTACTGGGTGTGGGCGTGGAGTCAGCTCCGGGACGTGCGGAAAGGTTTGGGAGCAGGGTGGACCAGGCCGGAGCCGGCGGCTGAGTGTGCAGCCGGGCTGTGTGCATTTGAGCCAGGGGCAAGGCGCAGGATGCAGACAGCTCGGACGAGGCTGAGGCAGGAGGGGGCGCCGGCAGGGGGCAGCCCAGAGCCACGGACCGGGTAGAAGACGAGCCCCAGGCCCGCTGCTGTGGCCAGGAGCTCAGGCCCCTTTGTTCGCAAGAAACCATTTAAAACGCCCGTCCCCAGCACGCGTGCGGGCAGCGCGGGGTGCGGGGACGGTGCGAGGACAGGGGCGCGCGGAACACAGCGCGCGCGTTCGCCCGCGCGGCCGGGCTTGCAGGCTCCAGGTCAGCAGTAACCAACAAAGACGTCTCTTCACAGCGACGAAAGGACACAGGGCTGCGGCGCGAGGGGCCCAAGCAGGTGGCCCAGGCGGCCTGGCGGTGCCCACCTGGCACGGAGGGAGGAGGTGCGCGCACTCCCGCCTGCAGAGGTCAGAGGGAGCGGATCTTCTCCTCCCATCCGGCCCCCTCTCCCCTGCCTGGGCTTTTCTTCCAGGAACGGAATGAGCTACTTTAGCAGTTGAAAGGACATTCCATTCCCGTGACAGACAGGAGCCGGATGCGGGCATACCTCTGCCCTCTTTCTCCTAGGAAGGGTCAGGCAATGAATCACAACGAGTGAAAGTTTAAAACAGCATTTCTTTAACTTCTAAAGGCCTCTCTCACTGACTTCCAAAGTGCCACCAACTGCTGTCTTCACATCCCCAGCAAGGACCCATTGCAGAACCTGTGCTGACCATGGCGAATTTTATCTCTTCAGTATTACCCTCAGGAAATGGGTTCTTTTGGCACTAAAGTTGTCTATTACGGAACGAAGGCGGACAGAGGATTTTAAAACAGTGGGAAAAAATGATCCCCATGGCAAAGATCATTCTGCTGTATTCTGTTCTCTCTGTGTGGGGAGCCACCAACCCCAGCTCCTGAACCAATCCGTCTGCCAGAGAATCTGGAAGTTGCCCATCAGAAAGGCTCTCCATAATGAGCCGCCCAGTAGGAGACACCAGCAGGGATGAGAATGAGAGACCAGGTATTTCCCCAAGAGAACAGAACATGTTTGAAGTTCAAACCCATCTTTAACCACAAGGTTTCGCCCTTTAGGCCCTAAACACATTGCAGTGCACAAGTGGGCTGGAGGGAGAAGGACGGTCTTACTAAACACTTGCTTCCGGAAGCATTGTCTTCAGCTTCCTGACTCCAGTAAGTTGCACAGGTATTGTTTTTCAGTTTGCTGGGCCTGCAGGTTGGAGAAAAAAGTATTTGAAGTGTGTGTGCCTCAGGAGGAGCTCAGGGAGGCAGTGATTAGGGACTCGTGCAGGAAGGGACAAAGAGCCAATTACCATCAAAGCCTGCGGTCTCCCTCGGAGAGGTTAAGGAGGAGAGCACGGGCCTTTGAGCTCCCCTGTCATCTGTCCCGAGGCGTAATCAAGTTATCATAGCACCCGGCCTCCATGTAGCTACTTGAATGAAGGCAAAAATTCTCGGACAAATTTCTAGCAGCGGGAAGTTGGTGCTCTCCTGCGAGGCTGGATGAAAAGCACCTGTAACCTCGCCGGCCCCGTCCCACTCCTGCTGGGAGCCGCTTCAGGTGGCAGCTTCAGGCCGCTGGCTCCAGGCCTCTTGTCCGTGCAGGCCGGGTTGGGGGTGGGGATGCTATTATGAGGTTCACGAGAGTGACAGGAACAGGCTCAGCTGGCCGGGGCAGCACAGCACGGCCAGCTGCCTGTGCATGGGTAGGTGGATGCTGTCCCCTTCCTTTTAGAGTGGCCTGGGCACATTTAAATGAAGACAGGTCTGGCCAGTAACAGCTCTCATGGCGGGGGTGAAGGGAGTCTCGCCTCCCTCAGTAAGGCTGATTAGAGGCAAGGAGCTCCGCAACCTGCCACCAGGGCCAGACAGTTGCGTCTCTCTGAGCTGCACCTCGATGCTTCCTGGAATTTGGGGGTGTGAGGATGTCCGCCTCGTCAGTAGGATGGAAGGAAGGGGAATTTGAGGCCACAGAGGGAGCACTGGGTGGGGTCATGGGATGTGTCTTGTAGACTGGCTCTGTGACTTAGCTATTTTGTGTCTTAGTTATGTCTCTTGTACCATGGGGAAGTGACAGAGCCTGGCTGGTCAATGAAAACCCTTAAAACCACTACGGTGGCCCTCAAGCCCTTTTGGCATCAGAGCTTGACGGTTCTTGGTGGTGGAGAGGACTAAGGGAAAGAAGGAAAGACGTAGATAGCTGGACATGGATTTCATCGCTTTGGCATGCCAAGCCAGCCGTGTGATCTTGGGCACTTTGTGAGGCTCACTGATCTGGTCAAAACCAGCTTTTCTGAGGTTTGTAATAGCTGGACTTTATGGCAGTCTGGTAAAGGCTCCTGGCCTAGGAGACCTGGCCAGTGCATCACCCCTGCCCCTGCCCTGCCCCTGCCATGCCCGCCAGGCTATATGTTCTTCAACTATTTGATGACAGGGGACATTGTCTTTCCACCTTGAAGGCAGCTCCAGCCTGCTCCCTCAGCTATAAACTGGGGCGCAGGATCTCTGCCTCCTTGGCTCAAGGGCACAGAAGCAGAGGGGACTGGTCAGCAGGAGAGGAAGTGCTTTGTAAAGTGCAAGGTGCTGCCCCGGTCACAGGCAGTCCACACGGCACCGCCATAACTACCACACCGGGGACGCTGCTCAAAGGAGGCTGAGTGACTCTCTGGCTCCCGACTCTGGGGTGCAGGTACAGCGAGGCTTCTGCTGTCTGGAGCAGGGTGCGGAGGGAGGTCAGGCATGGCCGGGATGTGATGGCCAGCATAGAAATAATCAGGCTGCAAACAACTAAAATGGGGACCAAGCACTCTTGGTTCCTTCTTTTCCAAGTGTTCAAACCCAAGATCTTGCCCCACAAATAACCACAACCTTCCCAGATGCTGTGACTTCCCCTCTGCGAGCTCATTGTGTCTCTGGCCCTGCTCACACCGGGTGCACCCCAAAGGCAAGCAAAATCCAATGAGAACCGAATCCAGTGTCCCCCTAAGGTCCACTTGGACCTGACCACTGAATTTGATTTGGTTCTCATCCAACTTGACTTGCGAGCAGAGATCTGGAAAGCATTAAGTTCATGAACCAAGAGACCACTGTATACATTTTACAGGTGCAATTTAGCGACTTTCTCTGCAAGTATGTGCAGTCTTCATGTAACTACCACACAATCAAGATGCAGAGCACTTTTGTCACCTTCCAAAGTCCCCTATGTCACCTTGCTGCCAGTCTTTTTCCAAGACCCTGACTTCGGGTAAGTGCTAGTTTTGCCACTATAGTTCCCATTGTCTAGACTTTTATGTAAAAGTTGTCTGCAGTGTTTGACTTCTTTCACTTACTGTGATGTTTCTGAGATTCATCCATGTGGTTGCATTTACCAGGATTTTTTTTTATTGCTGAGTGCTGTTTTAGGGGGTAACTACAGCTTGTTCATTCACCAGGCTGTTTGCAGATCTGGGCCTGCACGTTGATGTGGCTGTGAACACGCACAGAGAAGCCTTGGCGTGGGCTGTGTTTTTATCCTGTTGGGTGGGATTCCTGAGCTGGGTGAGGGGCGAGTGCTTAGCCTGGTGAAACGTAGCCAAACCCTTTTCTCAAGTGGTCACATCGGCTTTTATTTCCACCAGCGATGTGAGAGTCTGTTTGCCCTACATTCTTACTAATATTTGATACTGACCACTTTTTTTAAATTACCCATTCTATAGCTATATTGTGGGGTCTCACTGTGTTTAATTTATTTTTCTTGTGACTAGCCATTTCCATATTGGTACATACACAGCTATTGATGTGTTGGCTAGTATCTACTTGCTATGGTTTATATCTGGATCTCCCCCTCAAAGCCTCATGCACTCACGAGTGGGGCATTTGGGAGGTGACTGGATCATTGGGGGTGTGATGCTCCTGGGGGTGGATCCATTGGTGAGCTTATAGCTAAACTGTGAGGTGGGGAGGTGGAGCCTGGCTGGAGGAGGTGGTGACTATGGGTGTGGTCTGGGTCTATTTCTTCCCCTCCACCAACCAGGAGCCAAAATCAACCTTTTTTCCATTAACTTGGATATTGTGTCTGAGCAACTAGAAAAGTAACCAAGACACTGCCTTTATCCACTTGGTTTTTTTTTTGGTACCAGGGTTTGAACTCATGACCTTGCGTTTGCCTGGCAGGCGCTTATGCTGTTGAGCTAAATCCCCAGCATATCCACTTGTCTTTAATTGCATTATTTTCTTTCTTTCTTTCTTTTTTTTTTTTTTTTCATACTGGGGATCGAACTCATGGCCACGTGCTTGCCAGACAGGCGTTTGTGCCACTGAGCTAAATCCCCAGCCCTGTTTTCTTTATGTTCTTATTGAAAACGATCAAGTCTTTTTACTAGATATGTATTTTGAGGATATTTTCCTCCTAGTCTGTGGACTGTCTTTTCATTTTCTTAGAGGTACCTGTAGATAAAGGTTTTAAATTTTGATTGAATCCATTTATATCTCCTGATATTATATATATATGACATGTACTTATGACACAAATATGCTGTTTGTGTCGTGTTTATATAATCTTTGCCAACACAATAGTACAGAGATTTTTCTGCTATGCTTCCTTTTTGAAAAGTAATCATATTAGTTCTTATGTTTAGGTGCATGATCCATTGTGATCATTTTTATATGAAGTGAGGTAACTATTTAAGATTCAGCATTTGTACTCCACAAAGATATCCAGTGCCATTCATCGAGAAGACATTGAGTTACCTTGACAGTTTCATGAAAACAAAACAAAACACAAAGTCAACTATTAAGTGCAAGTTACTTCCGGATGCTTTAGTCTGTTCTTTTATTTTCATATATTTTTTGAGACGAGGTCTTGCTATGTTGCTAAGGTTGGTCTCCAACCAGCTTCCCAAGTGGCTGAGACTGCAGGTATGTGCCACCCTGCCTGGCTCCATAGACTGAGATAAGACTTAGTAATTTTACTTTTCTCCTCTTGGTGGAGAGATCAAACCCAGGGCCTTGCATGTGCTGAGCAAGCCATCTGCCTCTGAGCTGTAATCCCAGTCTTATCCATTCAATTGATGTGTATAATTTTTATGTGTATATTTTGTGTATAATTTTTTCAGTGGCATAGAGCTTTGATTCATGTGGTTCCATAATACATTCTGAAATGAGACCATGCAGGTCCTTCTTACCTGTCTATACTTAAATATTAGTTTGGCTATTTGTGATTCTTTGCTTTTCCATACATTTTTAGAATTAACTTTCCAATTTCTTTAAAACAGCATGTCTGTGATCAGGATTGTATCACCAATGATCAATTTGGAGAAATAAATTTTAATAATATTGAGTCCCCAAATCCGTGACTATGGTATAGCTCGCCCTTTATCTGGGTTTTCTTTAATTACCCTTAATATTTTTTAATAGGCCTAGCATAACTTTCGTTAAATTCTTTCCTATTTTTAATTCTTTCTATATTTGGAGTTTTGAATATTTTTATCTTTTAATTGCTTGTTACTTGTATGTAGAAGTACAATTTTATTTTAATTAAGCTTTCATTTTGAAATATTTATAAATTCAGAGGGAGTTATGAAGATCTACACACCCTTCACCCAGTCCTTCCAGGGGTCCCAGTTCTGCATGATATTACAGTGTAGTATGAACTAAGACTTCGGCATGGGTGCAGTGTGGGTACAGTGTCTCTTCGTCATATGTATTCATCATGTGCAGAAATCGCCAGATCACAACTGTCCCATCACCCAAAGGTCCCCTTTGCACCTCCCCACAGCCCGTTTCCTCGCCATGCCTCCCCTCTGACTAGCCTGTTTTCCATCACTATAATGATCATTTCAAGAATGCTCTATAAATTTGTACTGATATTGTTCGGACAACTGAACGCAGGTGTCTTGTGCTCTGGGTAAATGATTTGGGAATGACAATGCGCAATGTATGTATGTGCCATTGTTGCCCCCTGATTGACGTGTTTTGAAATTTTGTTGTGGTTTTTTCTTCTTCTTTTTATCTTTAAATAAAATAGATTTTTAAAAAGTGCTCTAGCAGCTGGGCATGGTGGCTCATGCCTGTAATCCCTGCACTCAGGAGGCTGAGGCAGGAGAATCATTGTGAGTTCGAGACCAGCCTGGGCTACAAAATGAGCTCAAGGCCAGCCTGAACTGCATAGAGAGACCCCATCTCAAAAAAAAAAAAGAAAAAAAAAAAAAGCTCTATAAATAGAATCGCATAGTATGTGACCTTTTGAGCTTGACAACTATTTTTCCCTTGGCATAATGCTTTTGAGATCACATTTGACCTGTAGCAATCTATGGCTGAGCAGAGTAGTACAGAACTCTGTAGTTTGGCTGGACTGCTGTGTTTAACCCTTCACTCTTGAGGGACATATTGGTTGTTTCCGGTTTGGCGTATCACAAATAAAGCGGGGAAAATGTCAGGTACAGGTTTTGCGCTGCTCGGTTATCATTTCTCTGGTATAAAAACCGAAGAACGCAATTGCTACGAGGCATCATGGCGGATAATCAGTTTTGAAAACAACCGTCAGAGATTCTCTGAATCCTGGTCAGGATTTTGTGTGTGTGTGTTGGTGTCACTGTTTTAACTGATGTGGAGTGACATCTTTTGGTTTTACTTTGCATTTCTTTAGTGACTGCGATGTTTAGTGTCTCTTCACATGCTGATTTGGTGTTCTATGTTCTCTTCGGTAAAATATCCCTTCACATCTTTGACTCTTTCCTAACTGCTCTTTCAACTGTTGACTTTTGAAAATACATGTTCCAGGCAGAGTTTGTAAATAATTTTCTCCCAGTCTATGACTTTTTAAAAATTCTTTTAAGAGAATCTTTTGTTGAGAAAGGTTTTTAAATTTTTGATGAAACAAAATTTAAATGATTTTTTTCTTTTTTTCTTTCTTTTTTGGACTAAGACCTCTTCACCAAGCCGTAAGTCCTGAACATTTCCCCTTATATTCTGAACGTTGCATAGGCTTGTTTTACATTTAAGTCTGTGGTCCATTTTGCATTAAGTCTGGTAAAATGTGCCGGTGAGTTTGAGGCCTTCCCCTCCTCCGCGGTCACCGCTTCAGCAGCATCGGTGTAAAGGATGCTCTTTCTCTACTGAGTTACTTGAGTTACTGAGTTACTAAAACCAGAGCTGGCACATGTGGGTGACGGCTCTTTCTGGGTCTTTCTGGGTCTCTATCTTGTTCTGTTGATCTATCTTTTTTGCTCATTCAGTTGCTACAGTTATGTATGAAGCCCTAAAACAACACAAATTATTTTCTCTTAAAATTATTTTATTTAGCCGGGTGTGGTGGCTCATGCCTGTAATCCTAGCACTCAGAAGGCTGAGGCAGGGTGATCTCTGCGAGTTCGAACCAGCCTGGGCTACAGCGTGACCTTAAGGCCAGCCTGAACTGCATAGCGAGACCCTGTCTCAAAAAGACAAAAAAAAAAAAAAAAAAGAAATCATAAATATACATGTACCTCATAATGGAGGCTCAAAATATGTGTAGTAAAAATTAACAGTTAAAAGGAGAAACAAATGCAGGGCCATAGTCAGAATTTCAATCCCTCATTCTCAGCAAGATAGAACAATTAAATGAATATTAGCAGCAAAGACAGATGTGAACAACTTTAACCATTTGAACCTATTTGTAAGATACTATTTACAGCAATGGCAAGAATGCAAACCCTTTTCAAGTGCACTCATCTGTCTGGGAATCGTGACAAGCTAAACTCTATACAAACCTTAGAAACTAGAAAAAGAAGAGCAACAAAACCAAGTTAAATTAAATGCTGATATCATTATTATGTGGTTGAGTTGGGCTTACTGTCTTATCATTTGCTTTCTATTTGTCTCTAACTTATTTTCTCAATTCTTCTTTTTCTGCATTTTTGCTGGACAACTTCTTGGATTCAGTTTTATTTTACACATTAGCTTTTTTTTTTTTTTTTTTTGAAAAATTTTTTTTTTAAATTTTATTTAAGGAGAAAAGAAAAAAAAAGCAGAGAAAGGGTACAAGTTATACAGATTTGCAGAAAAAAAATGAACAGTAGGAAATTACTAGTTAATGGATTACATATTGTCATCTTAGAAATAATTGTTCAAGTCACAAAATTAAAGCTTGTAAAGTGGACATTCCATCAATGATACTGCAAACAGTTCTGCTCAATGATCCAATATAACTCTGTGATATCATATTCTATCTTATACACTTAAACATACATGCAGTTATATAGTTTAGAGCACTTTCTTTTCCTCTCT